CCTTTGTGATCCTCTGGTCTCAGCTTCCTAAGTGGCTGAGATTACTGCATCCAGCTCAATTAAGCAATTTTTGACAAAGGTATCAAGAACAACTATAACTGTAAATAAGGTCCTAATGGTATAATTGACAATGTGAAATAGGAAGAAAAGGGCTAAAGGTGTAGGGGAAATGGGGTGGGTAAGGGAAAGGAAATAAGAGAAAAAAATATGAGAAAATGAAAAAATGGAAATAAAGTTTTTGTAAATAGGGAGGGCAGGGGTAAGGGGAAAAAAATGAGAACCAAGACCTGTCATGTAAAGGTACAAGATCCCAATGATGAATGTAACTGTACTGTATACCTAAAATGTACCAATAAACTCAACAAGGAAAAAAAAAAGAATACACAAGGGGGAAAAGAGCAGTCTCTTCAATGGTGTTGGAAAAACTATACATCCATATGCAAAAGAATGAAATTAGACCTTTATACCATGTGCAAAAATCAACTCAAAATGGATTAAATATGTAAATATAAGACCTGTAACTATAAAAGTACTAGAAGAAAACATAGAAGTAAGCATATTAGTCTGGGCAATGATTTTTTATTATAGTCCCAAACAATCAGGATTGCAAACACAAAACCTTTTGCAAAGAAAGGAAACAATCAACAAAATGAAGAGACAACCTAAAGAATGAGAGTTATTTGTAAATTACACATTTGGCAAAGAATTCCTATCCAAAATATATAAAAATCCAACAACTCAATAGCAAGAAAACCAGCCAATTTAAAAACAGGCAAAAGACCTGTCCCAATCTGTTTTGTGGCTATAACAAAATACTTGAGACTGGATAATTTATGCAGAAATAGGTTTATTTAGCTCACAGTTTTGGAGATCTAAGAGGATGGTGCAAACATCTGCTTGGTGAGGGCTTTCATGTTGCATCACAACGGGGCAGTTGGCAGAATGGCAGGGGTGTAAGTGAGGAGAGAAACACGAAGCCAGAAGGAAAGCAATTCTCATATAACCATTATTGTGGGAACTAATCCAGTCCTCCAGACAAGAGTCCATCCTTGCCTGAGATGGCCCCCCACAACCTAATACCTTCCAAGGTGCTCATCCTCTTAAAGGTTCCACTCCAACACTGACTGCCAGGTTGGGGTCAAGCTGCTAGGACAGGGCCCTATGGGGGACAGTCTAAGGATATCCAAATTTCTGAGCAGAAATTCCTCAAAAAGAGATATAAATGACCAACAGGTACACAAAAAACTGCTGAATATAAGTAATCACCAGGGAAAAGAAAATAAAACCCACAATAAGACATCATTTCACTCCTCATAAAACGGCCATTATCAAAAAGATAAAGGTAACAAATAACTGTGAGGTTATAGAGAAAAGGGAGCCCTTACACACTATTGGTAGGAATGCCCATTACCGCAGTAATTATGCAAAACAATGTGGAGTTCCTAAAACACATAGAAATAAAATTACCACATGACCCAGCAATTTCACTTATGAGCTTGTGTACACAACTCATGGCTGTGGGAACATACAAGGTACAATAAAAATACAGGGAATGTTCAAATTTTTTAATTTATTATAATCAAAAACACATTACAAGAATCTACCTCAAAATCACCACCCCTCAGTGGGAATGCACTGATCCCACCTTCTTGCTACTTTTTGAAGCAGTTCTAGAAGTCTTTATTGGGTGTCCTTAGTTGTGCCTCAAGGTCCTACATCAAGTCAAAATGTTAAGGGCCGGGGACTTAGCTCACTGGTTCTGCTGCCTGCTTCACAAGCACAAGGACCCAAGTTTGATCCCTGGTGCCAAAAAAAAGATTGTCCTTTAAATATTTAAACCGGGCTTAGTGGTGCACGCCTGTAATCCCAACACTTGGGAGGCTGAGGCAGGAGGATCACTGTGAGTTCAAGACCAGCCTGGGCTACATAGTGAGTTCCAGGTCCGTCTCAACTATATAGTGAGACCCTGTCTCAAAAAACTAACAAAAAAATGTTCACCTCTCGTGGTCATTTTGATTTTAAAAAAGAACCAGAAGTCACATGGTGCCAGATCTAGTAAGATACAACTTGCTTTTCCACTGGATGGCACTCAACAGCAGCATTCACTACATTTTTTATCACACCTCAAAAAGGACTTTCCCAGTCAGGCATGGAGGTGCACAGCTATAATCCCAGCACTCTGGAGGCTGAGGCAGGAGGATTACCATGAACTCAAGGCCACCCTGGCTTACATAGTGAGTTCAAGGCCAGCCTAGACTACATATGTCTCCAAAAAAAGAAAGAAAGAATGAGGGAAAAAGAGAAAGAAAGAAAGAAGAGAAAGAGGACTTTCAGAACTGCTCCAGAAAGTGACAAGAAACATAGGAGAAGCCTGTTCAAAGCAGAGAGAGTCACTTGAGGTAGATTAATGATAATGTATCTTTTACTGTAATAAATGTTTTTAACTGAAGCACTCACTCTATGTTTTGATCAGTGTGCATGTGTGTGTGTGTGTGTGTGTGTGTGTGTGTGTGTGTTTCCAAAGGAGATGAAATCAGTAAGTTGAAAAGACATCATCTGCACTCCCGATATTCACTGCAGCATTATTTAAAATGCCAAGACATGGAATCAAACCAACGGTGCATCAACAGGTAAATGGATAAAGAAAATGTTGAGTATATAAACACAATCAAATACTACTCATTCCAAAATGAAAGCAATCCTGTCATTTATGATAACAGGTACGAACCTAGAGAACGTTGTACTAAGTGAAGCAAACCACAAAGAAAGAAAAATATTACATGACCTTACTTCCATGTGAAACCTTGCAAGAGTTGAACTTAGAGATGTGAAACATAGAATAGTGATTACTGGATGCTTGAGGAAGGGAGATCGGAAGAATGGGGAGAAGCTGTTCAAAGGGCACAGCTTCAGTTAGAAGAAATAATCTGGGGGGATATGTTACATAGCACAGTAACTACGTTTAATAGTACTAGAGTGCATATTTGAAATTGCTAAAGGAAGAAATTTTAAATGTACCCACTCTCTAAAATGTTAAGTGTCTGAGATGACAGTGTACTTGCGACACCTCTAGTGTGTGTGTGTATCAAAGTATCACGGCTCAGCTCCCTCAGAAGCCACTCTGAGGCCAGGACTCCCCTCAACGGCTAGGTCAGCATCTCCTCCTCGAGACCCCAGCCTGCCCTGATCAGCCAGTGCACCTGCCTGTTTCCCTGAGGGACGCAGCGAAGGGAGACAGGCTCCAGCCAATTAAATTGAATAGGTTGAAGTGGTAAACAATGTCTCTGGAAAAATAAAGCCAAGAATACGTCACTGGAAAACAAAACCTAATTCAAAAGATCCTCATACCAGCTACAAACCCTCTTCAGTCTATCTGACCTCAATTCTCAGCGCCAAAAAAAAAAGGAAAAAGCACGCAACAAAATGTCCTCAAAGACTCCCAACTCTCCTAAAGCAGATCCAAGGGGCACCAGTAGAACTAAAACTAGAAATTCCATTTGACCAAACGATCCCCCTTCTTCCTGCAAGAGTTAAAGACATCATATTGCAGTAATGCATGCATACTTGTGTTAACAGCAGCACAATTTATAACAGCTAAATCATAGATGCAGCCTACGTGTCCATCAACAGATGAATAGATAAAGAAAATGCTGGGGATTTAGCTCAGTGGTTCCACCACCTGCCTCACAAGCACAAGGTCCCGAGTTTGATCCCTGGTACCAAAAAATAAAATAAAATAAAAATGTAGCATTTATACACAATGCAAAACTATTATGATAGAAAGAAGGACAAATGTATGTCATTTGTAGGGAAATGGGTGCAACTCTAATCCATAATATTAGGTGAAATATATCAGACACCTGAGCTTAAATATTCTTGGTTTCTCATGTATGAGAAACCCAAAGCATAAATAAATCAAAGAGCAAAATAAAAAATATATAAAAGGAAATAAGGGAATAGATCTTTTGCAAAAGAGAAGGAAACCAAGAAATGTTGGGAGTTGGAAGGTGGACAGGAAGGGGATGTAAAAAGAATTAAGATGTGTCTTACACAAGTACCAACTATACACAATGGATGTATTCATCATGTACCACCAACAGGTACTAATAAAGATCACACTGTACCTATAGCTATATACAATTATTATGTCACAATTAAAATTTCAAATTAAAAAAATCTGTTGACTATACGCCAGTAATGTGATATCTAAAAGTGAAGTCTGAAAAGCAAGCTCCTTTTATAATAGCATAAAAATTGATAAAGTATTTAGAACAAAACTTAAATTTAACGAAGGAATTAAAAGATTTGAACACTAAAACTTACAAAATATTGCTAAAATGTTTTCAAAAGACACAATCAATACAATTCAGCCTGTAAAGAGAAGGGAATTTTGTCATTTGTGACAACAGCAACAAAGCCGGAAGACATTATTCTCAATGAAATAAGCTAGACACAGGACAGACAGTTGCATTTATGAGCATCATCTAAAACAGATAAAATCACAGAAGCAAACATACAACAGTGGGTGCCAGGCACTGGAGGCTGGGGAAATGAAATTTCTGATCCACCAGATGAAGAGGCACTGGAGATGTGCCGCATTGTAAAAACTGACAGCAACACTGTACCATACATTCAAAATCTGTCGAGAGGGCAGATCTCGTGGTAAGAGCTCTTACCACAGTAAATTTTTAAGCAGAAAGAAAATGAGGCTAAAAGACTCAGAGACCTGAGAGGAGAAGCCTGGCCGACCTCAGCCGTGATGGAAGAGGACATGGCTGGCGCTGGAGCGGTAGACCTGGAAAGTTAACCACCCCCACCCCCGTTACGGGAAGAGTCACTCTAGAATGGAGAGCCTTGGGGTTTCTGTGAAGAGGGTCATTTTCGAAGATTCTGAAAGGGAAACTGGGAGCATGACGTGGCAGCTGAAGGACTGTTGAAGTTGGAGGGGACAGATCAGCAAAGAGGTTGCCACTGTGACAAGGACAGTGACCAGGCCTTACCTGGCTGTGTGAGGGGCTGATGCTGACTACCGACACCCCATGAAACAGGTAGACAGCACCCCGGTTTTCCTGCTCTCCAGGGGCCCCGATGGCCACGTCTGTCAGCTTGTCCCCATTCACGTCCCCCAGCACTGTCAGGGCTGCCCCAAAGCGGCCCCAGGGATGGCCCTGCTCCCCACGGAGAAGAGCGTCACATCGCCACCGAGCCCTCTGTTAAACAGAAACAGTGTCGGGCCCCAAAGTACACAAACCTTCCACCCACACCCGAACCCCAGCCAAGGTCCCACCAGCACTCACCCCTTTGGGCAGGGGACACACAGACACCTGGCCCCCTCGTGTGGACTCGTAGTAATGGGGGGCCCCAATGAGGACCAGGTCAGTGCTGCCGTCATTGTTCACGTCCACGGAGCCGAGGGAGGCTCCAAAGTAGGAGCCGATCTGAAAGAGACGGCCAGAGTCTCACGCACCTTCCCACCCAAGGCGGGGCACAGGGGTGCTCTTTCCATGAAGAGGACGTCATGCCGCAGAGGAAAATGTTTTGGAGAGGATGTGATTTTTAGATGATTCATTTTAGATTCTTATTTGAATGTGCTGCCAACTAGAGGAGCACATTATAGAGTCAGGGGGCAGTGGGCTTGGACTCACTCTAACAGAAAAACCTACAAGAGCAGACAGCATACCCTTTCAGTATAGTGCAAGTCTTGGGGAGGGTTGAAGTTGGCAGTCTAACTAATAAAGCACCGACTGGCTGGATTAAAAACAACGACGACCACTGGGGAATTTTTGTGTGATATTGAGAAATAAGGTCTACCTATCATTACAAAAATTTTTATTGAGTTTATTGGTACTTATTAAGTACACAGTACAGTTACATTCATCACTGGGACCTTGCACCTTTACATGACAGGTCTTGGTTCTCATTTTTTCCCCATTCCCCTGCTTTCCCTTCACCCACTCCTCAGTATAAAATTTTTAAAACTATGGCCAATGTCAATATGTAGAATTCAGCCATGGGATTTCTCCATTTAATTATCCATCGATTCGTTCAGCAAACAAGGTTTGTTATTTGCACACGGCTGGGTAGCAGACACAGAAATGTGGCAGTTTTCAACCTGGCTAAGTTCTAGGAAGGAAATGTACGGAGGACATCATAGCACGACTCACAGCAGCATGAGGGGAGCCTAACAGACAGCCCACTTTTAGGTCAGGTTTATTGGGGTGAACTTTACATATAGAGTCAGCCTTTTTAGTACACAGTTTTAGAGTTTTCACAACCTATAAAGTCATCTAACCACCAAGTAATAGAAGTCAAGTTATAGAAGTTTCATCCATTCCCAAAATATTCGCTCTTACTCATCACAGCCTTTCCCCAGCTCACCAGTCCTGGTGACCACTAATCTATTTGCCTTCTGTAATTTTGCTCTTCCAGAATGTTATGTGAACAGCCTGTTATGGGATGCAGCCTTTGGAACTGGCTCCTCCCACTTAGGACACCTGGGACCCGGTGCCACTGTTCCCTCACGTAGCGCACCACAGTCCACTCCCATGTCCCTGGATGGAGGAAACCGGGTTAAGGACAGAGCCATCACAGATGTGGAATTGCTGCAACATTCTTTAAATTACGTACTGGTTGAAAAACGTATGTACTGGTTGAATACTAGTTCTGGATACAGGTAGAATCATAGAGAGCTCGGTACAAACCAAACGTTCTCGCTTGCTGTTGCAGAGCCGACCGCGGAGTCTCCTTGAGGCCCCTCGCCCCCTGCCCCCGCGTGACAGCGGGACAGGTCAGCCCGAGCCTCCCGGCCTGCGGGTCCACCCTGCGCACGTTCCACTCACCTGGCTGCCCTGGATGTTGGCGCTGGTCTCCCAGGTGCCCGCGTTCTGTCTGAACATCACCACCAGGCCAGTGTGCTGATACCGAGGCGCCCCCAGAGCCAGGCTCTGCACCCTGCTCCTCGAGATGACTGCAGCAGCATAACCTGAAGAAGGCGACCTGAGAGCAAGTGCTTCCCCTCCAGGCCCCGCCGCCCTTGCTGTCGTGTGGGCCCAGCCTTGGGTAGGGGCAACGGGGCAGCCCTGCGCATGGCGGGCTATGGTAACTGAGCCCTGTGCTACATTCCTCTCTGTGAACATATTTTGCCCCAGTATTGGGCACCAAACCCAAGCCTTCCCACTGGGCTACATCCCCAGTCCTTTTTTATTTTTCATTTTGAGACAGGGTTTCGCTGAGTCGCTAAATGGCCCAGGCAGGGCTATTCGAGATCTTCCTGCTTCAGACTCCCAAAGTGCTGGGATTGTAGGCATTGTACCACACCTGGCTATTGAAGTTTCTGACTTTACAGCTGTCCTACAGATAGATCCAGCAGAATCTGCACTAGTTCAGTACACTGCACCCTTGCTTCTTCTTGGAGAAGCATGGCCTTTCTCCACTTACCCAGGTAAGCATCATTCATGTCTGAATCCACTCTGGTGGTGTTGATGAATGTGACTTTTCCCTTTGATGTATGCAGAAAGGCTCCCCCGGCCCAGTCAAAGCTGCCCACAGAGCCCAGTAAGGGGCCGTTCTGGGAAAAGAGGTTGAACAGGGTCATAAGGAGAAGGGACCACAGCTGCCCATCAAAGAGGTCCCTCCCCACCAGAAACCGTCACAAAGAGCCCCCCCACCTTCACCTCTTCTTTGACTTCCTCTGGCCCCACATCCACCCGTCAGTGGGAGAGCACTTACAGAGGTGATGGCCGCGCTGAAGCCTTCCTGAGACATTTCATGCTCAAAGGAGCTGGAGCTTCCGGTCTGAGTACCTGGAGGAGGAGACATTTCTAATATCAAAGAAAGCTGAGAAGCTCAGAAAGGGAGGCTCAGGTGGGCTGTGTTGAACTGGAAAGTATATGCCCTCTTCAAGGGATGGCAGCTTGGTTTTGTCAACTGAGAATGTGAACTTCAAGGTGTCCAATCTTTCCATTTTCGAGAGAAGACATAAACACAGACTGTATGTGAGATTCCCCAATTTCTAAATTCTTTCCTTCAGTAAACATTTATTGAAGCCAGGCATGGTGGTGGACACCTGTAATCCCACCTACTTGGAGGTTGAGGCAGATTCAAGTCCAGCATAGACAAGTTTGAGACTTAGTAAAAACCCTTCTCAAAAAAATAAAAGGCCGGAAATGTAGTTCAAAGGCCCAGTGTTCGGTCCACAGTGTTCAGTCTGCATATATATATGAGAAGTCCACCAAAAAATGTGTACACACTTCAGGAAAACGTTTGTATAAAATATTTTAATAGTTTTATATATGGGGGACCTACAGGGTGTTGTATGCTACAGAAAAACCATTACACTGCCAGCCCTTAGAGAAGAAATTGTAATGCATGTGCGGCAATCTCAATGACCAAGGTCACCCAAGCAGCAGTTCACCATAACAATAAATGTCTGAAAGCTCACGGCCACCACTCTGAGAGCCTCTTATAATTGTGGAGGCCAAAGATAACTTGTATTAATCTCATGATGTCTCAATAAATTTAGTATTCAAATAATTACACAGGGTTTTTTTCCTGAAGTATGCACACATTGGTAGAATATATAATAATTTTTTTAATTTATTGAACACTTTCTGTGTACCAGACACTATTCTAAGCAAACAAATGCTAACAACACATCCACATTTTGGGAGAAATATTGTGTGGGATTTGACTCCCCCATACTTCAATTTATCAGCCTGTGGCCAAGACTTGTAAAATGAGAGACCAAGTCTAGATTCTCTGATTCCAAAGGAATTGGCTAAGTGAAGCCCCGGTGACTGGGAGAGAGCTGAGGCTGAGGTTCCGAATACCAAGGCTTAGGCGGGCCTGCTCAGTGTCTGGAGCGCCTCAGGAGACACTGATGCCTCACTCGCCTTCAATGGCAAAGATCTTTTCCTGAAGCTGATTCTGAATGGTCTTCAGAGCTTCAAAGTTATTCACTCGGAACACATGGTCACGAGGTGGTGCAGATGCAATGATATTAAGTTCTTGGCGGCTTTTGTCGCTGTTGAAGGCGTCTCCCACCTGTTACCAAGGAATAAAGGACAAATCAGACACTACCTGGGAACAATCTCCTTAGGCAAATAATCTGAAATGTAATTGGACAAATGAGAGAATATTCCAGACAGCCCCAGAGACAAGGCTCACGAGCAGCATATGGTGTGCAGGGCAGAGAGCACTGGGGACTTAAACTTGGCTTTGGCCCATTTGCTCTGCCCTGCCTCCTGGTACAAGCTGACCGCACCCCGGAAAGGGAGCCTTTTCTATGTATACGAGGTGTTTCTTACATGCCAAGCTATGAGTCATGATGGTACTTTTTTGTGTGTCACACAAGGTGCTGTGGTAGTTCGTTTATATTTATGATCCTAACCCTTCACCTCTTCCTACATTCAAGCCCTTGCCCCAGAACTTGGCTATGCTCTCCTACTCTTGGATCTTGATTTGGTCCATGAATGTTATCAAATGTGACACAGAGGCTTGAAAAGACACCTGCAACATTTCCACTTGCTCTGTTATTCCTCTGCCTTCATCATACGCGTGCACCCAGGCCAGCCCACTAGAGAAGACACCCAGGAATCAGAACAGCCAGGCCACACCATCTGTTTCAGCCAAGGCCATCTGTGCAGCAGACAAACATACATGGCCACCCTCAGAAGTGGGACCTTGGGGAAAATGAGCAGTTCCCTAAAAGCCTGCAGCTGGTTACAAACGTGACTTCAGCTGAGACAGGAAAACTATCCAGTGGACCTATAAACTTACTTTTTTATGTGGTACTGAGAATTGAACCAAGGGCCTTCTCACTGAGCTGCAGGCCCAGCCCATCTAATTTTCTATTTGTTTTGAAACAGGATCTCACTAAGTAGTAAGTTGCCAGGGCTGGATACGAACTCGTGACTCTTCTGCTCAGCTGCACAGAGCATGGGGATGACAGGTGTGCACCACTGGGCCCAGCTTTCCTTGTTATTTCAAGTCCCCGAGTTTTGGAATGATTCACTGTGTAGCGTTATTGTGACATCAGCTAAGTGATATGGGTGTGGGGGGGAGCAGGAACCCTGGCCTCACTTTGATTTTACCAGTATTCAAAAATTGCAGATGGGTGTACCCAAGTATAAACTCTCCACAGAAGCATCAGCCCCAAGAGTCACATGGCCTACCCCAATGACATAGCGAATGAGGCCCTGTCTGTTTGCCTCCGGGATGACATCCTCGTACTTCAAAGAATCGCCATATTTCTGTCCATCTGTGATGACAACTAGGATCTTCACAGCATTCTCTCGGGATCCACTGGCATTCTGAAACAGTTCTCTGCTGTCAAATGTAAGTAGACAGAGATGTGGTGAAAGCGAGGGAGGGAATGTCAGCAGTCACAGACACAGCACGGCTGGGCCGAGACTTAGCATGAGACGAGGCGCCCGGAGAAATGGAAAGGCAGCAGGGGAGAAGGGCGGAGACAAAGCAAGCTTTCGTGGACTTCACGTGTATTTGCATAGTTTGGTATCTTAAACTGAATACTACGACTTTTAAGTTTAGCAATTCTAAAACAAGAAATGGATTCAATTGGGCTTTCCTTGACTCTCTCCTAGAATATACCACAATACCTCTCCGGCTCATCTTTCTGCTCTGTCTCCCAGCTCACCTTCACCTGATAAATACGCTGTGAAATTATCTCCTCCCATCTTAGAGCCATCCGTCTACTCGCACTGCCATAAAACTGCCTTTGGTGACCTAGACTCAACCTCCTTCCTAGCCCCTTCCCTCATGCCCTTTTACTTCCCCTTCTACTCCCGAATTGTTTTTTCATGTTCACAAGACACACAGTTCCTCCTTCACCCAGCCCGGTCTGAACACCTGCCCTCGTGCTCCTCCTCCGTCCATCCTGAGCAAAGAGGAGAGGACTTACATGACTTTGCGGATTCCTGTGGCAGTGTGTGTCAGCCCATGCAGCTGTCTTACTGGGATTACCAGAGATCTTGGGTTAGGGTTTTTCTTGAAATCACTGAAGGTGAAATGAGTCCGGAACACATCTGAATACTGCATCAAAGAGAACTGGGAACGAGGCACCTGGCATTAGCCTGGAGAAGGTGCCCCTCCTCACCAGCCAGCCCTCCATAAACCTCGAAACACTCCAATTTCCGTGTTCCTTCTCCACAGCTCCCAAATTCTTCTCAATACTAGAACTCAGCGAGAGAAGACATGGGGGTTTCGTCTCCTGTGCCAACCCTGCCTGTCAGTCAGCGCTGCCTGCTTTACCAGGGCTGAGAGGCAGTTGAGGCTGCATCCAAACAGAGCAGAGAACCGGGAAGTAACGCAACAGTCACTGAAGTGGCAGTGTCTGTACTTGCGGGGAGTGGGGGGAGCGGAGGCTGGTTGCCATGCATTTGTCAGCCTCACAGAGGCTACTCCCTAACTTCCCCATTGGCCCTCACCAAGGTTTTAGACTTTTCAAATTGTTCCATCACGGTTGAGACAAACTCCTTCATCTTCTGAAAGTCAATTGAGTGGATGCTGCCAGAGCCATCAATCAAGAAGGCAATGTCACTCTCCCGCTGAGGACACCCTAGGGAAGAGGAGACAGAGTGAAAAGTAATTGAAGACTTGCTGTGTACTCACTGCATGTCAGCTCTCAGCTGGACAATGAGAATAAAAGCTAAACAAGAATCCACCTGTGCTGTTCTCAGCTAACTCAAAACAGATTTCCTGGAATCAGCAAGATGGCTTGACTAGAAGCCCTCAGTATTCAGCCACCCCACAAAGACAGCCAAAACGACAAACCACCAAATATGAGGAAGGATCAAAAATTATGGTGAATGCCTATTTTTTGAATATATTATAGTAAAAGACACATTGCCATTAATCTCCCTCAAAGTCCTCATGAATGTCTAGCTGCACTGTCCTGGCTGCCTCAGTGTCCCGAATCGATGTGAGATATCGACCTTTCGTGGTCATTTTTACCTTAGGGACGAACCGGAAGTCATACGGTACCCACCTAGTGAATAAGGTGGCTGAGGACAAGCCGTGATATTTTCAGGAGCCTACCTTTCTGTTGAATGGCATTTGGCAGCAGCAATTACCACATTTTTTACCACGCCTTCACATTTTGAACCGTACCTCATAGAGACAATCACAAAGAGATCATTCACAACTGCTTCGGGAGTGGCAAAACTGATAGGATAAGTGTGTTTAACGGGACAGTGAGTGTTTTGAGGGAAATTAATATGAATGTGTCTTTCACGCTGATAAATCTTTTAAATTAAACATTCACTGTATTTTCTAATCACCCCTCATACATTTTGGTGAAAGTAACTAAAGGAGAGTTCCAAGTCTACAAAAGAGCAGCAGAAACTGCAGAACACAGAAGCATGGACAGCCATTCAGAGTGGAAGGGGCCCTGACTTCCCCGCCCCAGCCCCCACGAGGTGGGACAGGTTAGTGAGGGCACAGCAGCCCACTCCCACCACACCTGCCCTGCCCCACTGCAGGTCACTGCAGACCTAGGCCCGGAGCCCTCTGCAGGAGCCTCCTGGCCTACAACTGTGCTCACCCCAGAGAAGCAGCCCACACTGTAGCCCAGCCCAAGGCTCATGCAGCTGTTGCACACTTCCACCTTGGAAACCAGAGCCACTGTGGGCATCTGTTCTCTTCGGGAGTGAGTGGGTGTTATGGCTTTCGTTTTGATGTCCCCCCAAATCCTCACACAGTCATAGGTGGAGCTTTTCAGAGGTAGCTGGATCTGGAGTGTCTGAGGGGTGGCTAGGATCAAGGGTGTGTGATTACTAAATTAGTCCTCTGATTAGTTCGGCATAGTTCTGGGTAGGTTTAAGAGTGCCCTGCCCTGGCTGTGAGTTCTACCTGCCCTAGGAACAGGTATTCTGAATAAGATGTGAGGGACAGAAAGAGGGCTGCTGCTCGTCACTTGCTTGCTGCTTACTGCCTTCTACCTGCTCCACTTTGCCATGGGCTGTTTTCCTCTGCAGTGCCCCTCTGCCAGGCCAATCTGCCCTGCAGCCAGCCAATTATGGACTGAAACGTCTACACACTGTGAGCTGAAGTAAACCTTTCCTCTTTTAACTTCGGATGTCAGGTATTTTGTCTCAGCAGTGACAAAAGTAACTAAAGCAGATATGGGTGCCAGAGAAGCAGGATCGTTGCTGTGGCTATACCTGACCATGTGGTTCAGGACCCTTTAGGTGGGCAGCAAAAGAAATTTCAAAGCAGAACAATATATTTTTGTTTGTTTGTTTTTTGAGACAGGGTCTCACTATGTAGTTGAGACTGACCTGGAACTCACTATGTAGCCCAGGCTGGTCTCGAACTCACAGCGATCCTCCTGCCTCAGCCTCCCGAGTGCTGGGATTACAGGCATGCGCCACCACGCCTGTCCAAAGCAGTATAATATTGAGGTTGTGGCATGGCTACTGTTGGGGGCTTTGATCCAGATCTATGTTGAGAATCAAAAGCAGAGATCCAGTAGAATAATTGAAAATGTTGTGAGTTTGACAGAAAGGAAGCTTCAGTGAAGTTGTGAACTGCAAAGATGGAGCAGAGGAGAACTTGGTTGCTGAGAAGGAAGAGAAGAATAGATGACCTGAGGACATGACAAGTCCAGCAGGACGCCACCCTTTTTAGCCTCAAAACTGCAAAAGTGAAGGACGATGCTTTGAGCAGATTGCCCAGAGCACCGTGTTCCACAATGGCAGAGCCTAGGGAAGTTGTTCCTCAGGATTGGGTTCATAGGCAGCTGGTCCTCCACAGCCAAGACCAAGGAAGCTGGCTCCTGCTCCAGCTGGTGACAGGCCTTGGCATCACCCACATGGCGTTGGTCTTAGGTACATGCAAGTCACAAATAAGAGAGGGTTCACCGGACCATCAGCTGACTTCTCGGCAGAAATCTACAGGCCCAAAGACAATGGAATGAGGTATTCAAGGTGCTGACGGCCAAGAATACTACACCTGGCAAAGTTGTCCTTCAGAAATGAAAGAGACGTAGACTCCTTCTCAGACCAGCAAAATCTTGACCACTACCCCTGCTTTACAAGAAATGTTTAAGGGAGTTATCAGCCCCAACACCACAAAGGAAAAGGTACAACTGAAGTTAGGGTGTTACCATTGTAAGATATCGTACACAGACTATGTGGTGATGGCAAAGCAAAAGCTATAGCAGATACACAAACAGTAAAGAGAAAAGGGTCAAAAGGTAAAGAAAATAACCAAGGCCGGGCATGGTGGTGCATGCCTGTAATCCCAGCACTCAGGAGGCTGAGGCAGGAGGATCGCTGTGAGTTGGAGACCAGCCTGGGGTATACAGTGAGTTCCAGGGCAGTCTCAACTACATAGTGAGGCCCTGTCTCAAAAAGCCAATAAATAAAGCAATCTTTTAAAAAACAGATAAAATCCACAGGTTTTTAGCCAAGTTAATAAAACACAAGAGAGAAGACTCAGAATCAGAGATGAAAAAGCAAACATTAAACCGATACAAGAGAAATACAAAACATTACAAAAGAAAACTGTGAACAACCACACAACAACAAATTTGAAACTTTAAAGGAAATGGTTAAATCCCCAGATACATACAAGTTGCCAAGATTAAAGCCAAATGCAGTAGTGCAAACCTGTAATCCCAGCTCTCTAGGAGGCTAAGACAGGAAGATCATAAATTCAAATCTAATCTGGCAACTTAGTGATTTAGCAAGACCTTTGTCTCAAATTAAAAAAGTAAAATATAGCAGGAGATGTATCTCAGCACAAAGGCCACGGATTCAATCCCTATCACTGCAAAAACAAGGAAAATCAGGACAACAAACCAGTAACAAGCCAGCTTGAATCACTAATGGTTTCCCATCAAACAAAAGCCAAAGACTACCTGCTTCACTGCTAAATTTTGCCAAATATTAAACAAAAATTAATACTAATTCTTTTACAACTATTCCATGATTCCACTGCCTGCCTTGCAAGTGCAAGGTCCCAAGTTCAATCCCCAGTACAAAAAAAAGTATATATATATATAGTCCATGAAATTGAATAAGAGGGAAATCTTTCAAATTCATTATATAAGGTCAGTATCACCCTGCTAGGGAAGCCAGACAAAGAAAAATGAGGGAAGTTGGAAGGCAGGTAGGCCTCATCAACAACGATGCAAAAGTTCTGAAAAAAATTCTAGCAAGCCAATTCAACATCACATTCAAAAGATAGCTGGGCACAGTGGCACATCATTCAGCACTCAGGATGCTGGAGCAGGAGGATCGCCACGCGTTCAAGGCCAGCCTGGGCTACACAGTGAGTTCAAAGCCAGACTGAACTACATAGTGAGACCCTGTCTCAAAAAAAGTCATTCACAAGGCCGGGGATTTGGCTCAGTGGTTCTGCCGCCTGACTTGCAAGCACAAGGGCCCGAGTTTGATCCCCGGTACAAAAAAAAAAAAAAAAAATCATTCACTCTGATCAGGTAGGATTCATCCCAGGAATAAGAGGTGTGTGACACACACACATCAGCGAAGATGATCTACTGTACTACCTTAATGAAGGACCAAAATTACATGATGGTTTCAGTAGGTGCAGAAAATGCATTTGGCAAAATTTAACATCCCTTCATGTAAAAGTTCTCAAAAGAGTAGATATAAAAGATACCCACAGAGAGAGCTGGGGATTTAGTTCAGTGGTTCCACTGCCAGCCTCATAAGTGCAAGGTCCCAAGTTCGATTTTTGGTACCAAAACAACAACAACAACAACAACAACAACAAAAATAACCACTTAGGCTAGGCATGGTGGCATATGCCTATAATCCCAGTGTTCAGGTGGCTGAGGCGGGATTGCCTCAAGTTCAAGGCCAGCCTGAACTACACAGTGAGTTCAAGGCCATCCTAAACTACATAGCAAGACCCTGTCTCAAAAAACAAACAAATAGGCCAACACAGTAAGATCACAACAAACAAAAAATGGAAAATCTGACAAGCTGACAGTCTGTATCGTATAGAATGGAAAAAGCTGAAATCATTTCCTCTAAAATTGGAAACAAGATAAAGAGGCCCACTTTCAGCTCCCTTATTTAACATAGTTCAGGAAGCCTTTGCCAGAATAATTAGGCGAGGGTAAAAAATAAAGGGCATAAAAACTGGAAAGGGGGAAGTCAAACTTTCCCTTCTGCAGATGACATAATCTTCTACACAGAAAAACCTAACGACTCCACAGAAACTATTAAAACAAATAAATTAATTCAATGAGACTGTAGGAGACAAAAATCAACATTTAAAAATCATGTTTTTTTTAGCAGTGTTTCTATATGTTAACAGTAAAATACCTGAAAAAGAAATGATGAAAACAATTCCACTCACAATAGCAAAAACTGAGGCCCTGGGAATAAATTTAACCAAGGAAGTGAAAGATCTCTACTCTGAAAACTACAGAGCACTAATGAAAGTAATTGCAGAGGACACAAATGAAAGAAAGTAAGTAGCATTTATGTATTAGAAGAACTAATATCGCTGAAAGGACCACACTACGGAGATAGGAGACTAGGGGTGACGGAAGTTGGCTGCGGAAGAATAACTAGGAGAGCCCAG